GGGTTTTTGTGATTTTCTACAGAATCTATGCTTGTTCCTTGTTGCCTTCCTTGGTTTTATTTTGTATATACCTCAGTCTCTGAAGTTTCTCTTTTCCTGTAGTAGCTCCCAATCCAGCATGTTCCCTTTCCCCCCCTTTCCAGAGAAGATGCTGTTGCTTGGGTTTATGTAACAGACTTGGCAGTAGGGAAATGTTTATTACTTATTCATTATCATCCACTTGTATTTTTTCACCAACACCAGTAAAGGCAGTCTTCATATTGTTATCATTGGTTATTTTTATTTCTTACTATTGATTACACCTTAAAATGGAATATTAGCTGCGGGATGCCAATATCTTTGGTAGTTGTTTTCTGCCTTTAGAGAAAGTAAAGAAGATAATACCATTTACATCAAAAAAGTCCTTTCTGGCAAAGCCTAGAGAGGGAGGCTTTCTTTGTTGCAACAATGTGTGTAATGAAACAGAATTGTTATAGAATGTGCCCCTTGTCTGTCACCTCTATTGTTTATTTTGAAGGAAAAAATCTATCAGTGTCATGAATCAAGCTTTTTAATAGCAAAAGATTACTATAGAATAAAGGTGCTGAGAATAGAATAAATATTATTAGAAACATAGAGAGTCATGTTTGGTAACCAGAATTTATTTAGGGGCTTAATTATAATGAAATTACAATCAGAGGTTCCTGATGAAGTTAAGATGCTTAGATTTTAATAAGGACCTGAAAAAGTTGCGTGCATTTTCACCAAGTTGTATTTATTCAGAAAACCAAGAAGACCATGTGCGTGATCAGTAGTCACTATGCTGATTCCAGAAGTTTCAATAATTGTGTCATTTATATGAGATGTAGTTACTAATGTAGTCTGTTAGGTTTGCCAGCTTTTTCTTGTAGATTTATTATTATTATTATTATTATTTTAAATGCAGGTTAGAACCGGTGGCTTTTCAGACATCTTGCATTATGAAGGCAAAGGTTTTCGTACCTGAAATCTCGAGTCTCAGTGTCCTGAATTTCAGGCTTAGGCTCCTTTCCATTTCAAACAAAATCTAAGTAAAGATATGGTACTTGGGCAGAATCTTTTTACTAAGAAATCTTTTTACTATGAATTCTTTGTACTGTCAAGCTGAACATTTGGGGATTTGAAGCAAGTAGGGTCAAAAGGCGAGCGCATCCACAGCTCATTTATGCATTACTGAAAAGTCACTAAGGAGTATCTTTCTGCCCTGTCCCTTTTAAAGAAGAAGCCATTACACCAAAGCATGAGGTTGAGAGAGTAAGTGGCAGAGCTGTTGCACTGGACATTTTTAGCAGCATGAGTTAGGATGGTCTCTTCACCCTTGGGTGGCAATGTCATGAGTGAATATTGCAAGGAAAGACAAATTAGAGCTAGTCATGTCTTAATTGTCTCCTCAAGAATTGAATATGTATCATATAACATGTTCTTAAATCTCTGTGTTATGAAAACGGAAATGATCTTTCACTCCAAAGCCCCTAAATGCCAAGTGTTAAGACGCAGAATTTAATTGCACCTCTGTACACAAAGGTATGTCTGTGTGTCTATATGTGGTTCTATCTAGATACAGATTTAAAGTGACACCAGCCTAGTTACAGTCTTCCACAGACTTTTGGATGCTGAAGTCAGGTGGTTTTAGCTATCCTGAGTCTGTACTTTTAAATCCTGACTACAGACTTTTGAATAAGGAAAAAGTAGTGTAGATAATTTTAGAAATCTTTTGAGTTTTGCTTAAGGTAAATGTTCTGTTCATAATACAGGTTTTGAAACTTCTCTGTCTCAGTGTTCCCAGCCTTTTTGTAACCCAGCTTCACGCTTGAAAAAATTGGCAATGATTCATTTCTCTTTGGGAAATTGGCAATTCCTTCCTTCCAAATCAGGAGCCTTAAAGGCATATTTTAAACTGATTTGAGAAATTAACTGTATAATGCAATGCATTGCCTGTCTGCATTGCAGAAAAAAGAGGTGTGCCTTGTCAGCAGTCCTTAAAGGTGGAAAGAAGATAAAATGACTGAGATGATGCTTGGGGAAAGGCCTTTAGAGTGTGAGGTGGTTTAACAGCGAAGGAGCTGTGAGAGCTTTTGGTTGTCTGGTTGCCTTTTGGAAAGAGCTGTCTGCCCTGAGGTACTTTGGAACGCACCAGGAGTCAGGAAGAAATGTGTGTCGATGCTCCAGGGACTGCAGAGTGACTGGATGTTTTGAAGATGGGGAGAGTAGACAGTGTTGAGATTTGCATGGTGTGATCGTCAGCGGAGCTGGGCACAACTGAAGTTGTGTTCAGATTAGGGAATGACTCTGGGGAGGTGATGCACAGGGAATGACCACAGTCATGAGGGCCTTCCTGTCCTGGGTGTCTCCAAAGGTCCTGGGATGATACCATGATACAACACTGAATTGAAAGGTCCTGTGATGAGGACAGAGACAGAACAGGATTGAATTGCTGGCAAAGCTTACGTGAGAAGTGGTAGTTGAATATAAGGCGTCTGTTTCTAGCCCCCATCAGATGTGGCATCACCAATACATGTTTGGTATAAGACCAAAAATTGAACCACAAAAATCTACCAAAACATCTCTTACACCTGAAGAGAGAAGGATTTGATATTGAAGAACATTGGTAGTTGTTCACCTTTTCATGTCCTGTGGGCAGGTGTGTTGAAAGTGTTCAGAAATTTCGCCGTGCCTAGCTGAGTCCCAGGAAAGATTGGTGAGGAGGTGGGGTGCTGGCAGAGCTGTCAGCATGTGTGCTAATGTGTCTTGTCAGCTGGTGCTGTGACATAGTGTGTGCTGAGGGTCAGCGCTGCTGCGACATGAGTGTCCTCCACGTCATAGGAGATACCTGTATGCAGTGTGGGAAGACCAGAATTTGTGTGGAAAGTGTAGCTTTTTATTTAAGCTACAAAATAAATTAAAAAAAAACAAGTAGTAAATTTATAGACAAACAAAGGGGAGGATGAGGGTTAGGAAGGGCAGACGTGCAGCTCGCTCTGCCTTTTCAGCATGCTGCTGTGCTCACGTCTGCGTCAGTCCTTAGCGTCTTCTCCCGGGTTAATGATCCACGAAGTGAGTTCGTTGGGTTTTGGTGGCGGTTGTGGCATAACGTTCTCTACTCACCATTAACAAATGTGATAGTGGATCGGTGGTTATTTTGCTGCACATCTTGTTCAAGTTGCTTAGCAATTGTGGGGAAAATGAAACAGGCTCAGTAAGGAGAAGGTGAGCAATTGTGACCCTATTTCTGATAAATAGCTCAGATAAAAAGCTCACGCTGTGCTCAAGGGTTCAAACTGTGGCAGAAACCGTGTATACCCTCTACAGCACATCAGAGGTGAGACTTGATCTGTACTGAGTTTACTTGTTTTTTATTTCAGATACGACAGTGATGGTTGGTGTCCACCTTTGCCAGTTCAGACCTACCTCCATCAGGGCATGGAGGATGAACTCGAAGAAGATGATGATCGTGTTCCCACACCTCCTGTCCGAGGAGTAGCTTCATCGCCTGCCATCTCCTTTGGGCAACAGTCCACTGCAACCCTCACGCCTTCTCCACGAGAGGAGATGCAGCCAATGCTTCAAGCCCACCTTGATGAATTAACTAGGGCTTACCAGTTTGACATAGCAAAGCAGACATGGTAAGTGTCTGAAGGGGCACCTGCGGTCTGGGAAATGAAAGCATGATAATAATGATTTATTCCTTGATGTCTGTGCTCAACAATATTTCAGTAATGTTTCCAAAGCAGTAAGATGGAGGAAGAAATAGCAAAATTGTATCTCCAGTGTGAAGACCTTAAACATTAGTAGGTGCTTTTTAAACCGTAATGCTTGGTAATATGTTAAATCTAAATAATATTCCTCTGGAGTTTTGCATATTTTCAACTAAGTAGTTAACACTCACCTACTGACAACTTTTATCCAGTTCAGAGTACTCTCTTTTCAGCCTAGCAAAAGTATGATTTTTTTAGGATTTTCAAAAATATTGAGTTCTAAATTCCTGATTAGAGATAATGCTATTCACCTTAAATAGCAATGTCACAGTTTTTACTGTGTCACATGAGACTGAAGCATTTACATCGCTGACTTTGGTTTGAAATACCATGAAAATTTCTGATTCATAGGGAAAAAACCCAGAAATAGCAGGAAGGAAGTTGGTAGAATTTACAAAATGGATCTAGCATTTTAGCGTGCTTTGTGCCTGTTTGAAGGAAGAGCAAGCAAATACCACAGTAACATTTCCCTTGCAAAACAAACAGAAGCCATCTCTTCAGGGACTGAGAAGGAACTTGTCAGCTGCGCCAGGCTGGGGGTACGGTGAAGGTCAGTTGCTTTTGGGATGTTCCCTGAGCGGCAGTTGTCCTTTTACAAGTTTTCTACCCAGACAAAGGCGGCGAGTCTCGGAGGAGAGGAGCAGAGCTGGTGGCTGCATGGCAGGCAGCCAGAGGAGCAGCCTTTCTTCCCTGGTAAATAAAGCCACAAGGTTATTCAGCTGGAGCTGCCACAAACAGATCAGGCAGGTAGGCAGGCGCTGCCAAACCGAAGCCAGCCCTCGTCCCTGGACGCTGGCGAAGCCCCGAGGCTTGTCTGCAATCTGCGCTGGAGCACCAGGGTCCCGGGGTCCCGCGGCAGTGCGCTGCCAGGCAGGTGGGACAGGCCCGGAGCCCAGGCAGCAGCTCGCCCTGGCCCGTGGAAGGTGGCTG